AACGTTCAAAGCAACGCTGTATACAACATGCAAGTCATAGCGACATCTCGACATCTTGCGTTTGCACATCGACGCTATTCTTCAAAATATATGCATCTTTCATGCTGGCACGGTATTGGGTACTGTAGTGTGGATGTGCTCGACATTGAATTTTAGCCAATGAAAATGGCTTCTTCGATTTGGAATCCGGTGCGCTTTTGAGCCAGCTGGGGCGTGCGCCACCTTGCCTTTCTTGAACCAACTCGTTGAACTTGGCGCACCACGTGTGATGGCCTTTCGTTGAATCACTTCTTGATCCGACTCCAGAGAGAATCCGACCGCCGCCGCCTCCGACGGTGCACTCTGAATTCGCATGGCTTCGTTCTTCAAAGCATGGTCTCGGACAAACAGCACCCCGCTCGTTAGACCGCCGTTCAACGCGCGACGTACGTGGCGACGGGTGTTTTTCGTCCTCAAGATGGTACGGGTGCTCCAGCAGGTAGGCAAGCGGGCCGCGTCGCGCCGCGCTTTTCTTGAAAAGCAACACCAAGCCATGTACGGCAGCGGCCACCAGCCCCGCTGCGCCACGCCTGGGTGTTCTTCGGATTGGTATTATGTGCAGAAAAATGGTCACTGTACAGCGTGCAATGCGAACCGGCCGCGTCATGGAGTCATGGACTCGAGTGTGATGGACACCATTCGCAAGGCGTGGTCGCGCCTCACTTTCCGCAAGCCCAAGGACTCTGGACTGAGTGATGAAGAATACGCGATGATGCTCGGCGTAGAGTGGAACACTCAACAACAGCAGCACTTCCCCAACACATTGAAGCTCATTTACAACCTCGGCCAGTTCCCGCCGCATGTCAACCAAAACGCCAATCTCAACGCAGACATGGTAGACGAACTCGTCAAGCACAGTTCCGAGTGTGCCACTTCCGAGCAGGGGCAGGTGTGCCACGTCGGCGGATGTGCGGAAATGCGCCGAATCTTCCTTCACACATCCATCCATCCCAATGCCGAACCCAACTGCACCGACTGCCTCAAGACGTACCGTATCCTGCTCAGTCACGCAGAGCGCTGCCGAGTAATGTGCCGCGTTCCCCGGTGCAGCGGCGTCAAGACCCACCTCGAATGTCGCGCCGCTGCCTCAAGCCCAAACGCCCCTGCACCGCAGATGTGCTGGGTGCGCACCCCCCAAATGTCGTGGTGGCCTGCCATCGCTTACCCTTTGCATTACCCTTTGCCGCAGTTGCCGCTCTACGTCGTGGATCAATACCAAGACGGGTACCAGATTGTGTGCTGTCTGGGGGATCGCCAGTTTGCGTGCCTTCCCCAAAACCAGATCCTACCATGGACGCAACCCGCACTTCAATCGAGCACGGAACCTACATGCAACCACTTGGCGTGCGAAGATCTCCGCGGGTGCGTCGGATATGCCGCCACATGCGTATTTGCGTCGTTGGAACAGCACAAGATGGCGATGACCCACCATCACACGATGTCGTCGGTTCTTCAACAACATCCGCAGCAGCTACCTCGAACTCGGTTGCCGTCTCTGCCGTCGTTGTTGGCTCGGCAACCACAAACGACCTCTGTCGCGAACGAATTTGACGGCGGTTTCCTCAGTCCCGAGGTACACATGAAGAAGCGGAAGCTGATCCAGGCTGTGCCACCGCAGCTCCGGTCGTAGGAGCGCTTCGTTTGCTTCGAGTCAATGCCGTCATGTCCTGAGTTTGTATGTCTTGTAGCATTATTTAGACTAATTTCAGTAGAACCATCAAAGATTCACTCTACGTGGCCGCTGTTCGCCGCGGCCGTCGTGGGTACGTCGGGCTCGAGGCTCAGCTGAGAACACTTCCTCCCCCCGGTCTTGAGGGGATGACCGCAGGCACACTCGACGGCCGCAATTAGGTCGCACATACCGCGGGGAATTGACGTCGCTTTTGACTCAACGAGTTCAAAATATCCATTTTCACATTACACCGTTTGGATGTAAACTGGGATTATTGGTCAAAAGTAGGCGTCAATAAAATTCATGAAAATATTGCATGTTTTGGAAAGGGGACAATTGAAACATGTGAACCGTCCGAGGTCTGAACCGGAGGTCATTTATAAAAATAGATGCAAGACTGCAATACAAACCACCTATGTTTTAAATAAAATTCCCAGATGCCCGTAAAAATAGCCAGAAAACGACTGCATCGCCACCTCGTTTGACATTGCTTCAGACGAGCAAGCGCGATGGAGCTCGACAACCTCAGCATTGTTCACGAGAAGTTGCTGCATTTGAACATGATGGACAAGACTACGGATCATGGCATTGCGTCGCACGTGGTGGTGTCTGGCACTAACGGTGAAGCCCCGTCAAACCTCAACGCCACCTCGTACCACGAGAGCTACCTCAGCTACGTCCTTCCATACCTCTCAACACCAGAGCTATTTCGCGTCACCGTCTTGAACAAGGAGATTGAAGCCTTCTGCGAGCGCGAGTGGAAAGCCCGTGTGGCCGCGCGGTTCGGTGCCCTGCGGTACCAAGCAAGCTCGTATCGTCGGATCTACGCCATGCGATGCCACTTCCAGCGCCGCGTGTCGTCGAACGTGTCAGCGCGCGTCTACCTGATGAACACGAATGGGGATACGTCATTTTTTCCCATCGATTCTAGCAAGCCCATCATGTGCTCGCGAGAGCGTGCCGCCGTGTACAACCGATGCGAACGTACGTGTGACGCTTCCTCAATTCATAGCCCATCATGGACGATGTGCATGACCAGGAATGTTTGACCTGTCGCTGCGCATCAACCGATCCATCCAAGAGATATCGACACTGATCGGGATGGTGTCTCTCGAGGAAGCGCGCGACCTCCTCAACGAACATATCAACTTGATGACTGCGGTGGCTGCGCTGCGCGGGTCGCTCGTCTTCGAAAGCGAATTGTTCCAGGTCCATTCTGGTACCGTCCCGCACTCATGGGATGTGTAGGTCTTTCCAGCACCGGTCCTTCTTGACACGAACGTCCTCCTACGGGCGACGCACGCGCTCGGCCGACGCTTTTGCGGCGAGCCCCTCATGATGCAAATCTGGGTTTCCATCGACAACGTAGTCTATCGACCGCTGTCGATTCCGTTGCTGCTGACCCCATCGCCACCGAGCCCTTCGGTGCAAGCAGTACATGCCACAACAGTTGGCGACACCGGGACAACGCCGGCGCTTCCAGTTGCCCCATGCTGCACGACCGCTCGCTTCCATGAACTCGCCGGGATGACAATCGACATCGACGATAACAGCATGCGATACACGTTGCAGCCCGACTCGGTCACACTCAACACGCTCGTGTCGAATGCGTACCTCTTGTACCTCTTCAACCCGACCTCGTTTCATCCACTGGATTGGTCGTACGAAGCACGACTGACTGTTGGTACATCTCCTCGTCCTGATGCGGCAGAGTCTAACGGGCAGTTTGCAGGGACGCAAACTCATTTGCTGCCAACGGAACGGGAGGGCGTGTTTCTAAACAACGCGACCAGCGCGTTGCGCGTGTTTCTGTCATACGGAAAGCTCGCCCAGGCAGATGAGTCTCTCAACGAAGGCGTGCCACCGACTGCCGCGGCGTCGTCCCGACAAGCGCTCAACGTCCCATGCGATACCGGCGACAGCGCGTTCACATTCAGCATCGCTGCTACGAACCGACTCACGCAGACCAAGAAGCTCGTGGTGTCGCAAGCGATGCGGATTACGTTGCCACCCCCTACGAATCGGTACGGTCCGCACACGGCTTTTCTCTGAAGGATTGTTGTGGCAACGGGTGCTTGTTCATGAGTAGCAATGGCAAGCTGGAGCGCCATGCCCACTTAGCCAACGATTCCGTGCTCTGCTTCAGCTTTGACCAGCAGAACAACCTCCAGTACGTCGAGTTTGCCATCGGATTTGAGCCGCTACTGCATGCCCTCGGTGTGGTATCGTTGGTGGTGAATGGGGCAAGTCGTGATCGGTTGCCAGAATAACGTTTTGTCATGGCAAGTGTATTCGCGTGATTCCTTGGATTACTTGTGTTTCACTTTCTGGGCTGATCGATGTTGACGGCGCCACGACATAATCCCCACGACACACGCGACCAATGCCGCCCACGCGACGAGATGGGACGGACTCACCGCGTTCCATTTCTTCTCGAGTCGAGACAATGCCTTCTTTAGCGCCCGCATGATCACTCGCACAGGTCTCGACGGTGGGGTGTACGGCGTATACGAGCCAGGAACGGATGGCTGGCACGTGTCGTACGCCAACATTTCGGTGGCGCCTCGTCGACCACTGTATCTTAAACAAATGCGATCACCGACGTCGTGAACGTCCAACAGTCCAAATTGCCCTAGAACGTGGTCAAAATTTGCAAGTGATGGACAGGAGGAGCCACCTGACCCAGGAATCGCCCCATGGCTGTACGGCCCTCCTTTGACAGACCCTGGTCGTCCCATGGCGGCCGCGTGGAACGTCGTGATGTTGCCAGGGCTGTTGCTTCCGTCATCAACTGCGAGCATGTGCGCGTCCCCGCTGATAATCACCAACGGGACGGACACCAGATCTTGTGTGGCAAAGAACGCCACGAGGTCTTTCTGTTCGTGGGTAAAGTGTCCCCATTTTCGCTCGTCGTCGATCCATGGCATCGTGTTTACCCACACAATCAAACCCACGTCTGTCGACGTCGTTGCGGCTCGCTACAACAGGTCGTCATGCGACATAGTTGGGAGAAGTCGCATCCCCCAAGGCAAGCATTGCAACTCTCAGATATGTAAGCACGCACAACTTGATCTTTGAACCACTGCTTTTGATCGGCTCCCAAGATTGTCTTGGACGGCACGTCGGGCGCGTCGTTCGGAGTGCGCTGTGACCGCAAATCCGTGACGATGAATCGCACGCGGCCGATCGTAAACACTTGCTGAATCGTGTCTAGCGGGTCGTTTCTGCACAGAATCCATGAAAGACAACGCTTGAACAGTTGGGAGAGAACGATCACGACGTACGGGCGATGGAGGGGGTAATGTGGCACGTATTCCCGGTACGCTAGCAAGGAAGCGGGACGACCTGGCGCGGTGCTGTCCGAGTTGTCGGGGCCAAAGTCATGGTCGTCCCACATATATGCCATCGGCAACTCCATTTTGAGCATGGCCTACCACCCCATGCATTCGTTGGCAACGATCACTGGCATGTCAGCGTGACATCTCCACGATGGTCATCGAAGCAGCACGATCACGTCATCTTGACGGCATCTACCTGTCCCGCGGGAGACGCAAACATGGACTCGTACGCGCCTCGGAACGCATTGACGTCGTTCACTTCTAGATTTGCATAGTGCAAGTCACCCATGTGGACGAAAAACTGTGGATCGTGCGATGCAATTTGCTGAAACACCTAGCAAGCTGAAATCTCAGGAGGGAGCGACATGCGCAATGGAGTTCAACCTCAGGATCCGAATCCTCGTCGGCGCATGATGAAAAGGCAAATTTGAAGGACACGGGCGCGCCAGGCGACGGTGGAAGGCGAACTGACCGCGCCGATCGCTTCACCACCCTAATTTGCCAGGCATGATCTTCAACTCTGTCAGTAGTTCTTACGTTGACTCGTCATAACGAATCTCGTACGCAATGGAAGCACCCGGAGTTAGGCCCTATGGTCGTGGAACAGTCACATTCCACACGAGACGAGGGAGAGCATACCGTGGCGTGGAAGTCGAAGATTGAGGTTGTGGACGACATGGATTGCGACGAGCCGGGAAATCGCAGATGCGACGTCGACTCAGTATCCTATGCAAGTGTCCACTCGGTTATGTTGAAGCAATGGATGGTATATGGGCACCTGGGTCACCCACATCGACAATTTGGTGGGGTCGCATCCTGGGTCGACAAACGTCACCGACGTGCGAAGGCGTATGGAGTTGCTGGTGAGCGCACCAAGCCACACCCAATTTACAGGTAATCCTTTCGTCGCGACGTCGCGGCATGCATCAGCGGCATTCCCAAGCCAGAAAAACGCGCAAAGTGCCGCCGATCCGAACCGCATGGTCCCCGTCAATGTGAAAGTGAGCGAGCGACAATGTCCCTTCTTATCACCCAATCAAATTCATCTGGTGTCGGCAAATCTGGCAAAAAAGGCTTTTGATTGGCTTATATGTATCGTATAAGCCAATCAAATCGTTGCATTGATCAGTATGTGCGATGGTCCGTCCAAAAGTCACCGTGAACCGACCGAGATAGCTGGCATGGCTCAGTGCACGAATTACCACCAGGAGAACGGAGCAACTCAATGAGTGCTAGCTCCGTGTCAGCGTCACCCATGACCGAGGCCTCACCTGACGACGCCATGAAGTTGCGAGACCGCGACGAGAACGTTGTGTCGCGCTGTCGCTATAAGTTTGGGAAGTGCTTGAATCCACGCACGTTCAAGATCAACGGCACGTTGCATTCGTTGTGCACCATGCATAGACAACGCCAGAACGCGCATCAGCTGAAGAGCGATCGCAAACGACGTCAACGCAAATCACTTCAGATGTCGACAGCACCAACATCCCCGCCTGCATCCAAGGTCGAGCTGTCGTCGTTGGCACAGTTTTCCCCCTTTGCCAGCGCTATTCCGTTCCTCGATGAATACTCCATGAGGTCCAATGCCATCGGCGAAGCGTTATACTACATCAACTACAACTTCAGCAAGCTGACCCAACTTCTCATCAACCATGAAGTCGTGGCATGCACCGAGAGCTGCTCCGGGTTGTTGTCTCTGAACCCAGCAAACCGAGCACCACTGCCTTCTTCCACGAAAATGGATGTGATTGCTCCGCCGATCCACCCAGCGGAGCGCTCGTTGGCATTGAACGCAAGCAATTGTGCCGAGGCTGCAGTTCAAGTGCCCACGGTGTTTGACGTGCCATGCACGGTGGCTCCATACAATCCCCGCCACATCAACGACCCACCATTGTCCCTTCCACCATTCTCGTCCTTACTTCGAGTCCTATCGGCCTCTGCGCCTCCTTGACACGATATCGTGATCCGAGGCATATCAAAGCAGGCCAATCCGTCCGTGTAGCTACATGTGAAGTGTTTCAAGTATATTTTGCTTTGAATGTCGAGCAGTCTTCAGTTTGCGCTTGATGTTAAGCGCAATGTGCACTAATTTCGCCAGGATTGGCTCCATGGCGAGGCAGTTCACGTTGGCATGAGCGCACAATTGCCGTAACAATATAATGAAAAGTTGTTTTGATCCTTTACAATGGCCCTGTCGTAGTCGTGTCCACAGTCGATGGATTCGACACGCGAAGTGCCGACGTTCGGCGCACGTGCAAGTTTTCCGCTCGGAACGCCTCGGGAATTTCCACGTTGAACTCGAACGAGCCCCCTCGTGTGCGTGTGCGTGACGACTTGGACCCATCATCAAGCTGTGGTTTGTGAGCGTAATCGGTCTCGCCCATAGACGACGTCGCAATTGCCGACGCCTCTTGGTACATACTCAACGTCGAGCTGTGCTTGGAGTTTTTCAGGGGAGGTGGCTGTTTCTGATGCGGCCAGTCGTGCTCGAGTCCCGTCGATCCAGGGCAGCACGCACAGGACAGCGAGTTGCCGTGATCGTCAGTAGATGGCTTGTTCCCCATTTTCACGCGCGGTCCTGCGCCGTTTGGTTGCGTCTGTGGACGATTTCGATTCGACATGGCAATCATCCGGCCGAAATATCCTCCTGAAGTTTGTATACCATGCCAAGATTAAAATGCAACGCATCACATACATATTTCAAGATAAAGTTGACAATTTCGATTTTTCCTGGTTTTATACAGAACTCTCGGTTACATCAGGGCGGCGTTACGAGGCATGAGTGCCACCGCGCCAGCTCTGGCGGAGCGCGTCCATGTATATTGCCGCATACGGCCGTATGTGGCCTCTGCGCGTCCCGAGGCCGACGGCGACTCGACGTTTGTGACAGGAACATCCTCGTCGACGAGACGAGTGTGCGTCCAATCTACGTCAACGTCGACATTGTCGTTTCAAGACAGCGACACAAAAGAGTTTGGGTTTGATCAGTGCTTTGCGGACGACGCGTCCCAAGAAGCAGTGTACAATGCCGTAGCCAAGGACCTCGTCCAAGTACGCCTTGGCCAGCTCACTTGCGTGGAAGTCATGTTGTTTGTACATTGTTGTAGAGTGTCTTGGATGGCTACAATGCAACCATCATGGCTTATGGTCAAACTGGATCAGGTGTGTCATCCAACTGCTCCCCAGCCGTGCAGAATTGACTTGGTGAGCAGGCAAAACGCATACTATGGTGGGCAAAACTATGGACAGCGACGTGGCCGATGCCGGTATCATTCCGCGGTGTCTCCGCGACATCTTCCGCACACCGTCGCAACCAGCATCAACAGCGCCATCGTCTGCGGCCACCGAAAAGCGAGTCCTTGTGACGCAAATGCGGGCGAGTTATGTGCAAGTGTACTGCGAGCGCGTGTTCGACTTGCTCGACCCCACGTCGTCGTCGATTACAAACAACCACAACGCACTACAAATCCGAGAGACTGAGGATCGTGGAGTCTTTGTCGACGGAGTCACGATGCGCCCAGTGTCGAACGCCCACGTAAACCCCCGCTCTGAATCGTCCAAGGAAGAATGCTATCGGATTGCTCTCGTCGTAGGATTGTGTGGCCCTGATGGAGCAAGGAAACGCGAATAGAACGGTTGCCGCCACGGCAATGAATGCACACTCGAGTCGTAGCCATGCAATACTGACCATCCACGTCACAACATCCCTTGGAACGGACGGGACCTCCGAGAGTGAGGTGTATCAGAGTCAGCTCAATCTGGTCGACTTGGCAGGGTACCCTTGCGCCGCTGTGGCAGCCATGACAATCGCATTCCCTAGGTCCGAGCGTGTCAAGAAGTCCCTCGTTCGCGGCGCCCAAGTCCACGAACTGAAAGCCATCAACTTGAGTTTATCCGGTGCGAATCCGTCTACGATTCATCGGGTGGCTCAGCCATCGCTACAGCACTTGGCAATTGCATCTCGGCTTTGAGCAAGCAGCAGAGTCACGTGCCGTATCGGGATAGCAAACTGTACGAGCATTGCCATGATTGCCCGGGCTAGTGCGTCAACAACGCCACTTTAGGACGCGCCTGCTCCAAAACAGTTTGGGTGGGAATGCCAAGACAGCGCTCATCATCACCGTCAATCCCGACGCGTCGGAAGCGTCCGAGTGCCACGCGACACTTCAGTTTGGCCAGCGCGCGATGAAAGTCCAAGTTAGGGCGACCGTAAACGTCGTTCCCGACTACAAGCGCCTCGTGGACGCTCTTCAAGTACGTCCGATGTGGAAACCCGCCACGGGCCATGGCGACTCGATGTGCTAGGTTGACGCTCTGTTGGACGTTTAGGCAAAGGTGGATGCCCAACTTGATCGACTCAACGACTTGGACATGGATCTGCAAGCTGCCAAACAAAACGAGGCCATGCTGCAGGTGAGCCCAACCTTGGCTCGACACATATCCATGCTGGTGTTAGAATCAATTGGAGGAAGCGAGATTGGAAACGTCGCAAGTCAAGTTTGAGCTTCAAGCGATGGCGAAAATGACAACAGCAGCAACAGCCATCCCAACACAAGAGCAAAGCAGTGATGTGTCAGGGGAACGTGCTACGACGCCTTTGATGCAAGACGCAGTCGCTCAACAAGCAGTGGCGTTTGAGGCGAAAGTTTGCGAGCTTGTCCAAGACCACAAGCGCGAGCTCGCCCAACTCAAACACCGGTAGAATCGTCTTCCATGGCAGATCCTTGGTCTAACGACGAAATGGGAACGACAGGTACGATCAGCAAATGGACACGCACAAGCACGTGGCGAATCGAGCCAACCAAGAATGGCATAACGTCGAGCACGAGTTGTCGGCGGAGCGGACGGCGCACTTGGCGACAATTGCCGAAGTTCGAGAAGCCAAGGAAAAGCTGTGGTCTACGGAACGGGACACCACAATCCGCATCGCGGACCTGAGCCAGGAAAAGAAAGACTTGGAAACGCAACTGGCCGCCACACTCAAGCTAGTACACGAGGCCGAAGCGAAAGTGCGGCAGCTCACGGAAAAGGCCGCCGCCTTGGAAGCGGGCAAAGGACAACTCGAGACATCGATTGACGCCAACTTCGTGTCGAGGGCGCAGGTACTCGTGTGGGTTTGCTTGGATTCCAACCTCCTCGCTTGCAACCCATCGTGTCTTCTTCCATCAGGTGAACGAAATGGAGGCGTTGTATGCAGATGCGATCGCCAAGCTCCAACACCGTGTTGAATCGCTCGAAACGAGCAATGTCCAAAAAGCCCTTGCGTCGAAACTCCCGCCAGTCAAGGATCCGCTCGCCAAAGCGAGCTCGTCCAAGGCAGTCGTCGTCGACGGGTTGATTCCGAAGAAGGCCGTCCCGCGCATCGGCCGCGTCGTGCCGGCGGGGCGCAGATAGTCATTACATCATCCGACAAGGAGACGTTATTGCACTGGCACGGGCTGCACAACTTGACACCCATCGGCGTTTGCGCCTGGTTCTATTGATGGATGTTGTGAAAGACGTCGTTGACATCTTCGTTGTCGCTCAGCGCCTGAACATCCATCATCGATGAGGAATGAACGGCATGGTTTGGCTCACGTACGTCGAGGAGGGCTTCAAATTCCTCGGATGCGTCTTCCGGCAGGGTTACGAATTCCTGGGACAGTCACCCATGTTTCACGCTCACCTTTCACAATGCTACCATCGATGGCGGTCGGTACCTTGGGGTTGTAAATGAGCGAGCACACGTGGGGGTGGAGGCCCATGCCGACCAAATGGTTGCGCACGGCCGCCAAATCGTTGACGTCGCACGTAATCTAACCTCGCAACCAATCGTCATGTCATCGTGACAGGTCGGTTGTCGCACCTGCGCGATGGAATCACGAAACTCCATGTCGTCCGCGCCAGCTTCAATCTACGGCGATCATTCATCCAAACCATGATGGACTGCGTGCATGCTGTCCACACGAGACCGACCACGTACGGCAATATTCATCACAGAGTATTCGTCCCAAGTCAGCGATGACTCTTCGGGTTGCTTCACCTGCGCAACCGAGCGATTTAGTGGTCGTGGATGCCAAGTAGAGCCGGCGGACACCTCGAGATACCCCTTGCGCTCGAACATCCACGCGACAGATCCATTAGCACCGAGGGCACCTCCATGTTTGCTCAGGATGTGGCGCAGAGCTGGCGCTGTGCGCTTGCGGTTGTCAGTCAATGCTTCAATCTGGTCGAATCGCATGGGATACATGAAATGAAGCACGGGGGGAATTGTGGTACCAACCATAAGTGCACTGCCACTGGGACCAGTGCCTTCATACAAGATCGTTTCGGTGGCAGCAGCGGACTTGCCGTCCACGCCGCGCTTGATCGCAGCTTCGATCTTATCTCGCGGCATGTTGAACGTCTTAGCCTACGAAACACATGTTGTACGCTCGACACAGGTGATGGTGGTCAGTTCCTCGTGCCTTGATCACGACCGACGCGAGGCGCTACAACGCACACGCATGAGATGCAAGACAGAGATCGGCGGATCACCATACGATGTTGTTGACATCACCGTTGGTTGCTTTGGACGTCACCACGAGCTCCTTGCCGAGCTTACCAAAGAGAATTGCTTTTTTCTACCCACGGTGCAAGAGTTGGTCAGTGTAATCCCACGAAAAGGTTGATAATGTACTGCGTCGGTAGCGCTCTTCTTGCCCGCGATGGTTGGGGCGCGGCCCATGAAGCGGCGCTGTTCGTGGCGCATGGCGCTCGCAATGAGCAAATGCAGCGGAGTCCGACCGACCACTAGCGTCACCATGTTTGCCACAATGAGCAAACAAGCTGGAAACATCCGGAAAATTTGTATTATCCGTACCAAACTAATTTTTCGCTGCCGCGGCGATGGAGGTGTCGAATCTACAAGATCTCCTGAGCGAACCGTCCAAGAAGCATATCATCGACAGTGTCGATGCATTGGGCCTTGGATCCGCAGAGGTACATGCTTCTGTCCTTTCTTCTCGATGACGAGTTCGCACGATGCACAGGCGCAGCACCTGAAAACGCCACTGACGGCCGTCACACATGTTCTCGAGCAGAAGCATTCGCTGTTCATCGCACACGACGACACAACTGCATGGGGAATCCTTAAAGTCGGTCGAAAGCATCTCTTCTACTTGGTATGCACCAACGATAGATTGACGCATCGACCGAATATGGCATTCACAGACACCCCGCGGTGACTTCATGGAATTGGACCCATTGTGCGTCCTGGATTTTTTTGTTCACCCTCAGCGCCAGCGCCACGGTTTAGGACTGCACCTGTTCAAGTCCATGCTCGAGGTATTGCCGTCCCCAATGAACCGTCGATGGTAAAATTCCACGATAGAGGGAATCGATCGCACCGCATCAACTTGCATACGACCGACCCTCCCCGAAGCTCTTTTCGTTCATGCGCAAACACTTTGGCCTCGATACTTTCGTTGACCAGCCCAATCGGTTCGTCATTTACGATGCGTACTTTTCTTAAGGAAAATGCACGCGGCAGCTTGTCCACGTTACATCGCTCCATCTAAACCGACGCCAAGAACGCTTGCAACATCAAGTCCGGGTCATCGACGTTCGCTTCGGGTTTTGCAGGATCAAACGTGGCGCGGATCTGCCTCCCACCAAACCATCGACCGTGCATCGCTTTCAAGCACGCAATGGCGCTGTCCAGCGCGTCGAACTCGACGGCCACTTCATTCAACTCCCGACGGATCGATACCTGCAGGCATGATTATGACGAGTATCACACGGGTGGACTCCCACCTGAACAACAGTGCCAAAGTTGGAGCACTCAATGCGCAGGTCTTCTTCGACGTCCAAGTACTCGTCCGATGATGTCGTGTTGTCGGAAGGGTCGTCGACTTCGTCCAAGACACCTCGCAGCACCACGGATCTCGACGGTTCATCCAGCGCATTCTCTATTGGTGCAATCGGCGACGGCGGCACTGCAGCGGACGGTGGTGGAACGTCTGCTGTGGAATGGACGAATGTTGGGGCGGCCGACACGGCAGGAGTAGAAGCCGTCGCCCCAAGCCCTCCATGGAGGCTGTCATGAATTTCCTGCAAAAATGCATCGACCAAGTTCGTCTCGGTTGAAGGAGCGATGGTCATATCCTCCGCCGGTGGCATGGTGTCGGTGGCAGTAGTCTTCTTTTGTTTGTAGTCTGCGGGGGCGGCCCTGCCACGGAAATCAGCCGCGTGGTGACCTTCAATGCACTTACGTGATGCGAACGCCGGGTCTGACCTCACAATTGTGCAACTGCGGTCGTCAGCAAGGGTGGTAGCGAGGGATGTACCTTGGCGATGGCTGCATCCATCATGGCAACGGTGAAAAACACGACCAAGGCATCGCCCTACACGAAAGTCGCCATGACAATCGTGCAGAATGAAAGACGATATTACCTTGAGACTTCCTCGCTCATCCTTGTAGAATTTGATGCGCTTGACGCGACCGAGTCGATGGCAAAGCGATTCTTCCCACATACGTCAACATTAATACGGAAGCGACAGCACCTTACCCAACTGTTTGCACGCAGTATACGTTGAGAGGCCCGTGATGTACACCCCTGCGCTCCTTTCTTTCTTGGTTTGCGAGCTGTTGCCACCACATGTCGTGTGTGCACGAACTTGGGCTCTGGCAAGCGCGTCTTCCCGCTCTCGGTCCATTCTGCAAATGTATTGTCGTCGGCCTCCTTCATACAGCAACATACCTGTCGAGGTACTCGAAGTTCTTGTCCAGGGCAGCTTCAATGCGGTAGAATTCCCTGTCCAGGATGCGCTGCATGATCATGTGCGGCTCCATTGTGCCCAATGCGCCACGGATTCTTCACATGAATTATCCGGGCGATGTGCGTCCGGATAATGTATCCGGTGATTTGTCTTGCGCGCCAGAAAACCATGGGAAACAACACAAGCTCGCCGACTGCCGCCGCATCGGGCGATGTCTGTGCGCCGGCCCTGGAAGCGTACCTTCAGTGCGTGTCTTTCTATGTGCCCTGCTTTGAGATAAAAATGTATTTTGTAGATGTGTTGACATTAAGACAACGCAGCGCGGAGGACTCCGCGACGGCGACGAATGCGAAGAAGAGATCAAAGCGTACAAGGCGTGTCGCCAACTGCACAAGAAGATCGTTGCAGTGGCGGCAGCGGACCAGGCGAAGTAGGCGAAACATTCCTGCTTGACACAGAAGAACGACATGAGGTTGATATAAATGGGGTCTATTATCCTATCCGCAATTGCAACTCAAAACTCTTCTTCGTCAGATGCGTACTCGTGTTCTGGCGTAGAGATCCGAGTTGCGAGGAGGGGAATCATGTCGTTGCGCAAGTGTTGTTGCTGTGGTGCGCGAGTGGGGACAGGTGGGGTTCCTGACACGTCCACGGCCTTGGGCAGATGTAGCTGTTTGGACATCGTGCGAATGAGCTTGGCGCGCTCGCGAATTCCATTTGCGTCGCGGAAACTGTTCAGTGTCTCGGACGCATCGTCCCAGTCGTCGATGCTGCTGTTTTCAGTATCCAAGAGGCTGTTCTTCCCGATATCGTTCTCGTCCATGATAATCACGTCTTCGTCGTAGTCGACAATGACCTTCTTCGGCGATCCGTGTGCTGGATTGTGAAGAGACGAAGCAACCACTGCTTCCCTCTTTCGGGCAGGTTGACTCGTATGTGCACCCGATTGTGTTGCGCAGGTGCCCGACTTCGGCACCAAGATCGGCTCGCTTCTCTGACGGCCGATGTTACGATGCTGTGAATTTTGGTGAATGGAGCGGGGTTGGGTCGGTTGTGACTGGCGGGACACAGGACGTTCCATAGACTGTGCAGTGTGCTGGTACAGTTGATTCGATCGAGCGTCGACTTGGGGGTTTGTGCTCTGCGAAGTAGGGGTGTAGGTTGACGACGAAGAATGCACGCTCCGGGCAGGTGGACCAAATGATGCCGCCTTCGGGGTCATCTCGGCTCGATCTAGCGTGCGGGTGGCATGATCGGAATGAAATTGGTGATAGCTCGAGCCTCCATGCGAAGGTGGCATCGTCTGTGGTCGCTGTGTCGACGTGCAGGGCAAGGACCGCGCCGAGTCCACGGGCAGTTTGCTCGGCCTGAGTCCACTGCGCATCATCATGCGCCTTCGTGTCGAGTCGCCGCATATCCTGTTGCTGGTCGGGTATTGCAGCAGCGACGTCTTGGCGCCTGCGTTGAACGACATCGAGAAGAACTGTGTGCGGCACCCCGTTCGGCCGGTCCGTGTCTGGCGGATGTATGTTACCGTGTGTTACTTGCCTCCGCCGCAATGATGAAGCCGGGTCTTTACAATAGGTAATACGTTTAAACGTGTTTTCTCGTGCCATTGCAACGACGTGGAAAGAAATGTTGAGAGGTCGCGGCGATAACGACGTTATCGACCGTCAAATCTTGCTCAAAAGCAAGTGTTGTTGTACAACGTTTTTCTTTGCTCTCCATGCTGGCGTCTCTCGACCAGGCAAGGCGAGTTTTGCGAACGTTGCAATCCTTGGCACAACCAACTCAACAAACGCCGCGTCGGAGCATCTCAACGAATGAAACACTGCAATGCTCGTAGCATGGACTCGACCCAGTTGGTGCATACTGTGGTGCCTCAACGTTCTGACTCTGCGCCGAAAGGAAGAACCAGCTGGCGTATATACTCAAGAACCGAGCCACGCTCGCCGTGCGACTCCTAGCATGGAGAACACGTACAAGCCCCAATCTATCCACGAAGAGAGGCGGGGATGTATGTCGGCATGTCGTGAGGGTTTTTTG